CCTGTGACGAAGTCCATGGTTACTTGCTGCCAGGCGCGTTCGGGCGGTGGGATCGGCTGCAATTGACCCGCCTTCCGCTTTCTTGAACTCTTCATCACCTGACACGTCGGGCACGAGCCCACGTGCTGCTGTACGTCGGTCAACAGCTCCGGCCAGTAATAATACCGCTGCAGTTGCTGTCGCGTTTTTTCTACCCCGAAATGTCCCGAGGTAATCCCGTCGTGTGCCTCCTGTAGTAGCAGCTCCCTCAGTAGTGAGTACGCGGGTACCCAAATGCGGTTGGTGCCTGTTTTTACGTAGTAAACTCCTTTTGCTTCTGCCAGTTGCTGTGAATTTCCGGTCGTGAAGAATGGGTCGGTGCGGTATCCGTGGGTGAATAGGCCACTTAAAAGCGGGTTGGTCTGGGCGAGTAGGATGGCGTGGAGTTGGGCGGTGGGGCGGGTGAGAGCGTCGGCGATGTTGGATGCTCATTTTTTGTACGTGACGGTGTAGTGAAAATTGGACTCGAGATAGTCCAACCAGCGAATCTGTCGTGGGTTGAGATTCGGTTGGGCGCGAAGGTACTGTAGCGAGCGGTGGTCTGTCCGTACTGTCACGTCGGCGCCAGTCAGGTAACATCGCCAAACTTTGAACGCGTGCACGATCGCTAGCATCTCGCGGTCGTGTATCGGGTAGTTACGTTCGGGCGGGTTTAGTTTGCGGGACTCGTACGCGATTGGCTGGAGGCCGTTCCCGAAGTCCTGCAACAGTACTGCTCCCACAGCGATGTCACTTGCGTCGGTGACGAGCTCGAACGGACGGTGGGGATCTGCAATGTGAAGGACGGGCGGGGAGCACAAAATATTTTTGAGGGCCGCGAAGGCAGCTTGCTCTTTCTCCCCCCACGTGTACTCAACCCCCTTCCTCAGCAGGTCGGTCAACGGGGCAGTCAGCTTCGCCATGTCGGGGACGAACCGGCGCACGTAGTTGACGAACCCCAGGAAACTCTGCAACTCGGTCAAGCTGGTCGGCGCATGCCAAGCCTGAATCGTCGCAATTTTCTTCGGGTCTATTTCCACTCATGCAGCTGAAATAACATGTCCCAAAAACTCCAGGCGGTCCTGTAAAAACTCACACTTAGATGCTTTGGTCAGTAGGCGGTTCTCACTCAGGATTTTAAAAACTGCTTCGATGTCTTGTAAGTGCTGTGCTCTGTCAGGGCTGTAAATCAGTATGTCGTCCAGATAAACGATGACGCACTTATCTAGAAGTGGGCGGAATGCTTCGTTCATGGTCATTTGGAAGGTGGCGGGGGCGTTGGTCAGTCCGAATGGCATGACGGTGTATTCGAAGGACCCGTAGCGTGTTCGGAATGCGGTTTTAGGGCAGTCGGGTGGGTTGACGTGGATTTGGTGGTAGCCTCCTCGGAGGTCGATTTTCGAGAAAACCCGGGCTGTTCGCAGTTGGTCGATCAGTTCGTCGGCTCGTGGGATGGGGTAACGGGATTTGATGGTAACCCTGTTCAGTGCCCTGTAGTCGATACACATGCGAAACCCCCCGTCCTTTTTCGGTGTGAACAGTATGGGTGCGGCGAAGGGCGACGAACTAGGGCGAATGAATTCCTTTTCGAGCAGGTAATCGAGCTGCTTCCTTAGTTCGTCTAGTTCGGGTTGGGTCAGTCGGAACTGTCGCTGTACTGTTGGTTGTGCCCCCGGTTCCAGTTCTATCCTGTGATCGTGCGGTCGCTGAGGTGGTAGTCCCGTCGGTAAGTCATCCGGGAAAATGTCACTGTATCGTGTTAACAGTGCTGCCAGATCACTCGGTACGTCTGTCAGCAGTTTCTGTAAATCCCCTCCCTTGTCTGCTGCCTCGGCTTCCCGAATGTCAACCGCGTACACGTCAGCTCCGGCCGCTACAGCGCGTTTCAACGTGATCGCATTGACACGCACCGACGAAGACTCAGGCGAACCCCAGCGAGGTAAGGCGATGTTGTTACCGTTCACTCGCACGGTGCAGTCACCCGTCGTCCAGTCGATTCGCGGATTGTGTCGTCGCAGCCAATCACGCCCGAGTAAAATGTCGGTTCCGTCGAGGGTCGTTGCGAGCATTTCCTGGCTAAACGTGAAGTTACCCCCGCATCGAATCCGAACTCGGTTTACGCGTTCCCGTATTGCCAGCGGCGTGCCGTCTACTAGTCGTGCGTCGATCTCAGGTAAGCATCGGTCCAGTGGTAGTCGCAGTTTTCGTGCTGTAGCAGTGTTAATGAGGCTGTGGCTGGCTCCCGCGTCTACGAAGATTTTAACTAAGTCCGTCCCAATTTTCCCACTGAGCAGTATAGGGCTATCTACCGTGGTACCCTCCTTATTCGGCCGGGTGTGGTCGATTGCGTGAACCGGCACAATCACTCGGTGAGGGTCGGTTGGGTCGGGCGAGCGGCGTGACCTGTCAGTAGAGGGCCCGTCTGCTACTGACTTCCAGCGTTTCCCTGCTGCTTGGTCTGTGTCTGCTGCTCAGCTTCCCCCTTTCCCTTAGCGTTTTCCGGGCATTCGCTCTTGCGGTGTCCCGGCCGATTGCACGCAAAGCAGCGCCCTTTGAACGGTGCGGCAGCGGCATTTGCGGCGACGGCGCGTATCGTGGCGTTCTCGTTCGTCCCACGAGGCCGATGTCCCCAGGTGTTGTTTCCGTAGGACCCCGGTCTCGGTCGGCGAAAGAAGTCGAGCTTCTCCGCCATAGCGAGAATTTCCTGAAACTCAGTGACGCCGCGAAGCTGGATTTCCTGAGCGATGTCCTGCTTCAGGCCGCCGATGTAGCGGTCGATGCGTTTGCTCTCATGCATGTAGCCCACCTGCTCGCATAGCGCCAGAAATCCGCTCGTGTAATCCTGGACGGAACCGAGTTGGCGCCAAGTGCGGAGCTTCTGTCGCGCCGAGATCGAGGCCGCGATTGGCTCAAATCGAGCGCGCAGACCTGCGCACCACGCGTCCCACGTGCGATACTGGGGCACCTCCACGAAATACGACGGCGCCCAGGGTCCGGTTTATCCTTCCCGTGTCGGTAGTGTCGCGTAGTCGGTCGGCTTCGTGACGATGACGCGCCACCAGTCCATGGCGGGTCCTCGCAGCAACGACACGGCGTATCGAATCTTCGCCGAGTCCTCCGAGACGTAGTTGGCGTCGAAGAAGACATTCATTGTGAATAACCACGCCTGAACGGTAGGACCACCCCGTTGACTCGGGTCAAAGCATGGCGGGCGCTGCGGCTTCAGTGGCATCGGTGACGGCAGTCCCGAATCGTGGGTTGGTGCCGAAATCGTGACGCGAGGCTGACTTGGGGCCGCAGGCGTCGCTCTGGGGTGTGTCGTGCCGTGGTCGTCGTCTCCGTCGGGGCGGACGACGCCATCACTGGCCGCGCTCGCGGGTTGCCCCACACTCCCGTGTTGTGATGTTGAGGGTGCGGGTTGAATCGGAGTGCCAGGTGCTTGAGATTGTGCTCTCATGAGGTCATTTTGCAGTGATGAGCGTTCTGCCGTCAATGCCGCGATTTCCTCGGAGCTTTCGTGCAGTTGCCGCAGCAGATCGTTCAAACGCTCCTGCGTGAGAGTGGTGACGTCGATATTCTCGGCCATGACGAAGGGCGTCGGCTCGTCTTAGTCTAGGCGCAGTCGTGGCTGCACGCGTTTACGAGAGAACGCGAGGACAGCGGCTCCTAGGGGCTAAGGTGCGTGAGTCCCTTCGAGTGAAAAATCAAAAGTTGATTTCCTGGTGTGCGGAGATGCGCGGTCCGAAAGAAAGGGGCTCTGATAACGAAGTGTTACGGGTGCAATGAATCGAGGTAGCGAGAATTGCACTAAGGTGTCAAACGAGTACAAAATGTGAGCGAAGGCATGAGCGAACATTTATACGCGAAACATGCAAAACGGTAACGCGGTGCGTGCGAGCTTGCTAGTGCTACGCTGGAGCGAGGCTCGGGCTAGTCCCGAAGCGTAGGCCGATACGGCCATGCCAGCAGTGCGAGGTTTGGCAAAACAGTGCGCGCGAAGTCGGCGAAGTTCCGTTAGCAGTAACGGGCGAACAATCGGCTGTTTGCTGTACGCGATGTAGTCGGCTCCGTAAGGAATGCCGAGAAAATTCCTTACAACACTATACTGATGGTTCAGTGTCACTAGTACACCTATACACTAATTCGTCAGGGTAGTCCTATACTTCAAACTGGAAAATCAGTGCAGATATAAAGAAGATACTGAAATTTCAGGGAAAACGAAAATCACAGCTACAAAATCAGCCTAATCAGCGTGTTTTACGCTGATATCTGAGGGCCTGATGGAGTACCAGAAAGCTGGGAAGATCGAGGCCATGCTGAAAAAGGGGCGGTATATATAAAGGATGTTCCTGTAAATGTTTGTGTTAGCATTTTTATGGAATAAAACACTACGGCATCATGAAGATAACACATTCCCCCCTTCGCCTCTCACTGCCATGGAGTACCAGAAGGCTGAGAAGCTTGAGGCTGTGCTGAAAAACGGGTGCTCAATAAAGAGGACATTACTGTAGATGTTATGGTGCTACTTGTGTTGAAAGAACACTCCCCCCTGATGCCTCACTGCCAATTTTGATTAGAAGGCTGAGAAGGCTAGAGGATAGGTTCACACAAACAGTGTAGTGGCGGTACATAGCGCATGCTATCGTCCACGGCAGATTGAATACCGTTGTCCCGTCCCGACCCGAGCACCCTATTTCTGAATCCGAAGTGAAGCTTCGTAGACAAAAGCCCAATAGCTTCTTGTTTTGTTTATTCAGGAACACATCACTATGTAGTAGTAACATGGTAGTAGGCTTGTTTCAAACAGCATACAGAACACACCCGAAGCCATAATACGGTATAAGCGCAAGAGGAGGCAAGGACGTGTCAAGCACTCTCGAGAACCTAACAGCCTACCATAAAGCTGCCTCAAAAATCATCTCCAAAAAAGGGCTCTTTCTTCCTTCTCCCCTCACTCACACCCCCCCCCTCCTTGTTCTTCCCTAGCCAGCCAGCCACCACAGGAACGAGGGCGACGGTGGGAGGGAATCGCACAGCAGAGGGCCTTGTGAGCTGCATGGGCAACGTTGACGGTCCTCCCTGAACCCTCCCTGCTCCCCTTCCCCTTCCCTGCTCCCCTCCCCCCTCCCTGCTCCCCTCGCCCCTCCTGCTCCCCTCCCCCCTCCCTGCTTCCCTCTCCCCTCCTGCTCCCCTCCCCCCTCCCTGCTTCCCTCTCCCCTCCTGCTCCCCTCCCCCCTCCCTGCTTCCCTCTCCCCTCCTGCTCCCCTCCCCCCTCCCTGCTTCCCTCTCCCCTCCCTAACACCCCTGTATAGCATACAACCCACCGCCTTACTCCCCCTTGCTCCCCTCCTCCTCCTTCTCCTTGTTCTTCCCCAACCACCCAGCCACCACGGGAGTGAGGGCGACAGTGGGAGGGAAGCGGACAGGGGAGAGGGCCTTATGCGCTGCATAGGCAATGGCAAAAGTGCCCACTGCCTCTCCTGTGCTGTCCACATGCAAACCGAACTGATTGGGGGAGGGGGAAGTGGGGGGAGAGGAAACAGGAGGGTAGGGAAGCGGACGGGAGTGAGGGTCTTATGGGCCGCACAGGCAATGGCGAAAGTGCCCACTGCCTCTCCTGTGCTGTCCACGTGCAAACCAAACTGATGGATAAAGGGGGAGAGCAATGAGAAATAAGGGAATTCGGGTTCAGGAGGGAAGCGCACAGGAGACAGGGCCTTGTGCGCTGCATAGGCAATGGCGAAGGTACCCACTGCCTCCCCGGTGCTGTCCACATGCAAGCGGACCTGAGGTGGGGTGGGATTACGTAGAAGATGCCGCGAGTGAAGGAGAGGGTGGATACCTGGGCAAGAGGGATGCAGACACGAGACAGGGCCTTTTGGGCCGCATAGGCCACAGGCAATGCGCATAGAGGTGAGGTTCAACCTCGTGCAAGAAGTGAAAGGTCTGAGGCGTCTCACCACTTCACTTCTTTCATGTGGCTTTTCTTTTGGGCCGCATAGGCCACAGGATATGGGCACACAGGCTCTGCCAATACAGAAGCCCGGCCACATTCACACCATGGTCAAGACAGAGGGAGAAGGAGACGAGGGAGAGGGCTGTCCCAAATAGTGGTCCTATCAAATACCAGTTCTTAACGGATCTTCTCTTACCGAGTCAAGGAGCCCAGCAACGTCCCAAGGGCTGCATGTACCATAAAACTGATGTAGCAATTCTTAACGAGTCAGCTGTTACTGAGTCAGCTCTTACCGAGTCGAGTAGCCCAGCCACATCCACGCCTTGGTCAACGAGCAGGTAGCAGAGGGAGAAGGAGACGAGGGAGAGGGCGATGGAGGTCCCAAGGTACGCCCCGCCATAGCGAGTTAGCAAGTCCTTTGCCACTTCCGCGTTGCTCCCAGCCTTGAGAGTGAAGGGAAGGGGGGGGGGGGGGGGAAGGGAGTGAGAGGGAAAGGGTTGGGGGTGAATGAGGCGATGGAGGTCCTGAGGTACACCCCTCTGTATCGAGTCAGCAGGTCCTTCGCCACTTCCGCGTTGGTCTCAGCCTTATGAGGAAAGAGAGGAAGAGGGGGGGATGTTAGGGTGGGGCGATGGAGGTCCCAAGGTACTCTCCTCCGTATCGGGTCAGCAGGTCCTTTGCCACCTCCGCGTTGCTCCCAGCCTTATGAGGAAAGAGAGGAAGAGGGGGGGATGTTAGGGTGGGGCGACGGAGGTCCCAAGGTACTCTCCTCCGTATCGGGTCAGCAGGTCCTTCGCCACCTCCGCGTTGCTCTCAGCCTTATGAGGAAAGAGAGGAAGAGGGGGGGATGTTAGGGTGGGGCGATGGAGGTCCCAAGGTACTCTCCTCCGTATCGGGTCAGCAGGTCCTTTGCCACCTCCGCGTTGCTCTCAGCCTTATGAGGAAAGAGAGGAAGAGGGGGGGATGTTAGGGTGGGGCGACGGAGGTCCCAAGGTACTCTCCTCCGTATCGGGTCAGCAGGTCCTTCGCCACCTCCGCGTTGCTCTCAGCCTTATGAGGAAAGAGAGGAAGAGGGGGGGATGTTAGGGTGGGGCGACGGAGGTCCTAAGGTACTCTCCTCCGTATCGGGTCAGCAGGTCCTTTGCCACCTCCGCGTTGCTCCCAGCCTTGAGAGAGGGAGAGAGGGTGGTGAGAGAGGGGGGAGTGGGGGGGAGGGACGCGGGGTTGGGAGTCTGATTGAGGGCGATGGAGGTCCCAAGGTACGGTCCCCCGTAGCGAGTCAGCAGGTCCTTCACCATCTCCGCGTTGCTCTTACTGGGGGACTTGAGGCTACTATGCATATTGCTTCTCATGTTTCAGTCCACTTCTTACTCTATTCTTGTATTCACTACTCTCATCCTTTCACCCATTTCTACACTCTCTCACCTGCACCAATACCATTTTCCCTATGTATGAGAATCTTGGCACACCAATCCTCCCACCTGTCGCAGTTTATCCCTCCCACCTGTTTTCACCAATCTGTCCACCTCTCACCTTCCATAAGCCGGCTTCGAGACCCCATTTCCGGGTAACTTCCTCCGCTTCGTCCGCAGGAGAAGCCGCGGAGGAGGCAGGCGGCGAGGAAGCCGTTTGACTGTTGATGCTGCTGCTGCTGGTAGTGTTGCTACTGCTGCTGCTGCTGCTGCTGCTGGCCGCTGCTCCTGTTTCTCTCTGGTCTGCACCAAGTCAGGGACAGAAAACAAGACAGTAGAATGAGAATACTTGAGCGAGGTAAATTCGAGAGGAGTGCCTCTTGAGTCAACTGAAAGGTCAGCAAAGCAAGAAAGTCACCAGAGAAAGGACAGCAAGTCGGCGGAATGGAGATTCTGGTTAAAGGTGCCTTAGATTCTTGGACTGCTCCAAAGACTTTGAGCTGACGGAGAAAAGAACTGAGAGATGACGCTTGTAATCAATCAAGCGGTGGATTCGTGGGAAGGCGGACACTTAGCCTGGTCGCCGGTGCTTTCGACTCTTAAAATGCTCCAAATTCTATAATGATTTGACGTTTGGAGGTGATAACAAATGAATTGCTGCCGAACAATATGTTTTCGATGGAAAAGCTGCAAACTGCAATTACTTGCACATAGAGATTAAGGCTCCAGCGACCAGAAATATAAACCACCACTTCATTCAGCTGTAAGAACGCTTTCATGCAGTATGAAGCAAACTGCAAACTAGAATTCTATCCTGAAAGGACTCTAGAAGGCTTTCCAACGCACGTTGAAGAGGGATCCCAGGGTGATCCGTGACGGCCCTGCCTGCTCCGCATTTTTCTGAAGGAATCTAAGAGCCGAAAAGGCTCATGACAAAAACCTAAAAATAGAAAGCTTTCAACGCACCTTGAAGGGAGCTCCGGGCGCGAATCCGCATAGGCCTGCTAGGCGTTCGGCCGGTTTGAGCAGCGCAAAATGGTAGCCGCAAGCACGTAGAGGGCTTCGCGAGGCTGCGGCTCGCTGCGGAGTTGGCGGCAGCCATGGTGGCGACGCTCTCCGCCGAGATAAGAGTAGCCATGGTTATTACCGAAGCGCGTCGGAACGGGACGAGGAAAGCGTAGGGTGCTGCCAGCAACGAAAAGTAATGTACGGATGCGCTAGCCGGTATTTAGCTAATCAGCAGTAACCGTCGCGCACGTGTTCCGATAAGGCGGATTGCGAGGATGGAGAGACGTCTGTTGGCGTGAGCTCAGCTGACGGCTGCTTTCTTTCAGAAATCTGAGACGTTGGATGGGAATGTATGCCGAAATGCGGCCGCCAGGACGCGTATTGCGACCGAAGGCGTCGTCTGAGCGTGTGATGTGAAGTGGAGGTCTGCTCGTGCTGTGTGCGTGAAAAGCTGGACACAACTGAAAGCTGGGCACTACTGAGCTCTTGTCACGACACTCGACAAAAACAAGAGCGAATGGGGCCTGGCGGGGAGGTTGATCACGGGGGGAGTGACAAGCTCTTGGGGAACACAGCTAATCACTAGGATCCGAGGAAGCTCAAGAGGTGGAAAGGATGGATAATGAGGTGAAGTACGTTTCGGTACGAGCTGATATGGTGACGTACGGTTTCGTGAGGAGATTCTTATTCTGATCTGTCATGCACCCTATGAAAATGCCACGTCAACTAAAGATGCTTCAGGAAGTGACAACGTGGCGTCGACGGTTCGTCGGTTCCTCGAGGTGTGTGGTGGCGGATAACGAGGTGAGATTTACCTAAGCGACACGTGCCGTTTTCGTAATTGGACTTTGTCCGCGTATAGAATGTTGCATGTTCACTCCAAGTAATAATCAAACAAGCTGCACATATATTAGAAGTCTCACAAAGCATTTAATGCCACAAAGACCAGATACACAAACTCACTCTCATGATGCTTTTCAAATCCATGTATTCATTATTTCGGCCAGAAATTCCAGCTCAAAATCTGCAACACTCACACTATGTGCATATTTGTTCCCCATTGACGAAAAATGCGACTGAGTCGGAGTGCGGGGCTCCAAAGGAGCAGCATTCTTGTGTGACACGACTGGATTCACTGACTGCTGATGAGGAGACGCCTGCGGTGACGTGTCAGAGGGCTGTAAAACCGATTGCAACCCTGGCAGCAAGGGCTTGGCCAGAGGCTGAAGGACAACAACCCCCAATTCTCCCCTCCTTTGTTCTTCCATTGCCTGGGCCAGCATCCTCATCTCATACTCCTGTGTCGCCTCCAGCTGCTGCAGCAGAGAGTCCAGCAACGCATGCATGGGTGGCTGCTGAGTTGGCAAGGGGACATCCTGTGCAGGGTGAATCCGAGGCAAAGGCAGCACCGGCTCCAACGCTGCCTGCATCTCATGCTGCATTAGCTGAGGGCTGTTGGATCCAGCCAGCATCCGAACCTGCTCTTCCTATTCAACCAACGGAGCCTGCACTGCCCTTCTTTCCTCCTCCTCCATCTCCAACAGCAGCGCCTTCAGCTGCCCATCCAGAACTCCCTCCACTCCCGTGGAGGAATCTTGAGACAGGGACCGCTTTCGAGACACCTCGGAAGTTATCAGCTGCCCATCGATAGCTCCTTCCGCTCCCTGCCGTGACTGCATCGGCATCACAGCCTGCTCCCACGATCTCTTTCTTGAGACAGCACAAGTGTTGGCACCAGTGGTGGCAGAACGAAGGCTTGCATTGCAGTTCTGAGGAGAGAATGGTTCGGAGAGGCACGTGAATGGGACGAAGCAGTGTGAAGGCGGAGGGATGTACAGGGTCGAGTAGCTTCTGTGCATTGCTGCTGCCTGTAGTGGTGGCGCTTCGGAAGGAGCAGCAGGAGCAGTAGCAACAAAGAGAGGAGTGGCCAGAGCCTGAGCAGCAGAAGGAGCCACAGCTGGAGTAGCAGGTGCAGCAGCAGTAGTCACAGCAGCAGCCACAGGCGCGTTGAGCAAGACTCTAGCACCCAAAGCTGCCAGCATCGCAACAGACGCCGACACATGGCTAGGCAGGGACTGCAACCCCTCTCCAGCAGCAGCAATGGAGCAAGTGTCAAAGGCAGTGGTGCCAGTAGTAACTGTGACGGCTGCAGCATGAACGAGCGTCTGTTCCCTCGTGTCGTCACGGGATGGGGACAGCAGCCGCTGCAGCATCTGTGCTCTCACGTGGCCCCCCGGAGAAATCACCACAGGTACTGGTAGTGGGAGTAGGAGCAACAGGGGTTCTGGAACCACTCTCCACCGCAATCAAACCAGGGAAGTTCGTGCGGGTGCAGATTATTGAGTCACCCACGGGACTGAGGGGGCACACATCCGGGGAAGGCGAACCGAAGCTGGTTACGGGAGGCAGCGGCAATGCCGAAACGCCTGCTGCTGTGCTCGAATTAGTTGGAGGGGAGAGGACGGGCGGAGTGCGGGGCCTGATCGCGCCACTCTCAGCAGCGTGCGGGAATCTTGTCTTGATGCAGAGGCCGCCCAGTGATGCTTCTTGAGTCAACTCGAACATCCGGGACAGGACGGGCGGAGGAACGGGCCTCATCCCCTCTTCCCCAACAACGTGCAGGGCGCTTCTCTTGCTGTCTGGGCCGCTCTGTGATGCCAGAAGACGTGCTTCTGTCTGGTCTCTGTCAGGGGCCGTGACAACTGCATCGCGGAAAAGGCATCCGTCCGAATTCGGGTTTGAAGCTGCAGGAAAGTTGCAGAAATGTTGCGCCAAAGTATTCAGAAAACAACAACCCAAAAATGAAGCTCTGCATCACAAAAAGCAGAGTCGGAAAACTGGACGCGTTCGGCTGGAATTCTGTCTGACCCTCGGAAATCTGACAGAAAACTGTGAAGTTCTTCCGTCAGAAATCACACTACTGGATCGATGATGTTTCCAACTGATTTCTAGTCAGATTTCAGACAGATGCTTACCAACAGATTTCGCTCGAGCATTCCTTGAGTTTTCCGTCAGATTTCCGTCGCAGCTCGCCCGAATCCGCGGGACCTAAAAAACAATTATTTCACATGTCCCGTTTACTATTCGCTACATGATAGACCGTAGCACTTCAATTATCACAACTACTATTTATACTTATTTATGGCTATTTCATATATTCGTTATAAGCATTCAATACAATAAATAGCATTTTTAAATCCACTACAGAATCTTACCGTATTGAGAACCTACAATAACTACTATTAATCCCAAATTACTACGCACTAAACTACCAACATTCAGGCAAACTTTCTACCCAGTGACGTTTTTCTTCAGCGATGCCGGGTAGTCGCTCGCGTCGATACAAACACCATTGCCAAACAGGAATGCGTTCTTGCGTGAATCATAGCGCACGCCCATGGTGGTGACAGCTAGCTCCACCCATTTCCTGCACTTAACCACAGTACTCTCGTACTTTTCCCGGTTGACTTCAGGATTGTTTGTCATCCTGCCCTCTTCCTCCAATAGAGGACATTCCAGCTGCAAGGGAACAACGAGTATTTTAATTAAGCTCCGCTAGATGCCGATAAATATGCTTGCGCATTATCTGTCTACTTGTTCTTACCACGAGAACAGCATACGCGATCTGACGGGTCTTGAACGCCCCCAGTGTCACATTGGTCCGTGTGAATGCATGTCTTATCCCCACTGCAAAGGCTTTGCTGGAGAATGGCAACTGCGTGTCTTCTGTATCCACATGGATACGTAAACCTCCCATCTCTTCTGTAGAGTGGGTAAAGGAGCACAGAGAGGGTTTAGGGTGAGAGCAGGAGGGTAGAGTTTACACCATCAAGAGCAAAATAAAGCCACGTACACATCTTCAAAGCTCTTCACTGATCTGTTCAATCTCGAGCAACGTCAGGGAGACAAGGGCAATGCACAGAGGAGCAATATAGAGGCCCACGCACACCTTTGCCTCCCCCTCCCTCCTCTGCATTTCCTGCCAATGGCAGAGAGATAAGGATAGAGAAGGCTGCGTGAGCAGCTCTGAGGCCCACGCAAACCTCAGCCTATCTCTCCTTCATCCTCTGCGCATTTCCTGACAGTGGACGGGGGATAGGGACAGAGAGAGGAAGGATGAGATAAAACCAATCTCAATAGATGCAGCATGGAGGCCCACACACACCTCAGCCACTCCCTCCATCTGCTTTCATGCATTTCCTGCCAAGGCAGGGAGATAAGCACATAAGTGGGAAAGGATGAGAGCAATAGCATGGTTGAATTAAACCCAATATGAGCAGCATGTAGACCCATGCACACCTCAGCCTCTCCCTCCCTCCACCTCTGTGCATTTCCTGCCAACGGCAGGGAGATAAGGACAGATACAGAGGAAAGGATGAGAGGAGTAGCAGGGTATGAATCAAACCCAATACAAGCAGCATGGAGGCTCACACACACCACGGCCTCCTTCCCTACTCCTCTGTGCATTTCCTGCCCATTGCAGGGAGATAAGGACAGTTAGAGAGGAAAGGATGAGGGGAGCAGCAGGGTATGAATCAAACCCAATACAAGCAGCATGGAGGCTCACACACACCACGGCCTCTCCTTCCCTCCTCCTCTGTGCGTGTCCTGCCAATGGCGGGGAGATAAGGAGACAGAGAGAGAGGAAAAGATGAGAGTAGCTACGGGCCCACGCACTCCTCACCCTCTCCCTCCCTCCTCCTCTGTGCGTGTCCTGCCAATGGCAGGGAGATAAGGACAGAGAGAGAGGAAGGGATGAGAGTAGCTACGGGCCCACCCACACCTCACCCTCTCCCTCCCTCCTCCTCTGTGCGTGTCCTGCCAATGGCGGGGAGATAAGGACAGAGAGATAGGAAGGGATGAGAGTAGCTACGGGTAAGGAAATTCCTCACCCTCTCCCTCCCTCCTCCTCTGTGCGTGTCCTGCCAATGGTGGGGAGATAAGGACAGAGAGAGAGGAAGGGATGAGAGTAGCTACGGGCCCACGCACACCTCACCCTCTCCCTCACCATGCGACGTACCGTCCATGTAATTTTGGGCGAGTTCCTTGTGTTCATAGAAGGCCTCAGGGCTTTTTACTCCCTTGGGAAGCGCTGCCACCTTGTGTTGCTTCTTTACGCTCCCCAGGGCTGTCCAAACAACAGCTCGTAGCTTCTTCGCGACGTTGCTTCTGTTGGTGTTGCACATCTTGTTGAAAGTCCCCACGATGAATTCGTCGGTTAGGTTCCAAAGAAGCTTTAGATGGGTCATAGCATCAGGGGATAGTAATTTCGCGAATTCTCCAAGCGCCTCGTTGGTGTTGGGGTAAAACTGAATCTCCATTGCATCGTCGGTCCAGAAGAGGCAAGTCACCACTTGACTGCACGCCCCCTGCCATGACACGAAAGTATTGTGTATCGGGACAAGAACGGATGAAGGCAGGTAAGTTGTTCATAGTGTACGATGGAATGATGTATTACGCACCGATACACACGCAATATAACAGGATGGAAGCGTTTGAACTTACTCGCCAATCCTTTTGCTCGGCCAACACCACATCCAACGCAATGGCCACCACAGATCTCGTGCGAGGTTTTGGTTTATATTGAGCCCCCGCACCACCTCCATTGTTCTCGCCTCCATCTGCTGCAGCACCCAGGCTTCCAGATGCTCCACACTGGCAAGTGTGAGCTTGTAAAGCTTGTAGAAACTCCGTTCGCAGTGCAGCCAAATCCCCCTTCGTTGCATACTTATTCATCGCAGCTTGCTCTGCCACCGATGCGACTGGGCGAGGGCCCGGGTTAAGGGGGATGCCGAGTCCTGGCCTCGGTGCAGCCAATGGCCTCCGACTACCGGCCGAGGCCGACTGGTTCAGCGGATGCGAGACGGACGGTCCATGGGCCACTGGAGCACGTCCCATACTCGCGGGAGACGCTGGTGCTGATGCTGCTGCGCGTGCACCGCCGCTGATACGCCCCCCTATTCCATTGGGGATGGCGCCCAACTCATGGTTGGAATGGCCTGAATAAGCAGCCGCATGACCTGGGGAGGGGGTGGGTTGATGCATGCCCCCACAAGAACCATAGCCGTGTCCAGAGGAGACACCTGGCCTCGCGAGATTTCCACTCCCAGGGGGGTTTCTTGAGGAGCCGCCCGGTTCATGACCTACTGAGGCAGGGGAACCGAGGTGGGGAGTCTGCGCATCAGCTATAGGCACGTGGACCCCTCCACCAGGCATCATGCTAGGGGGAGGCTGCCCCCCAAAAGATGCTGATCTGTGTGAAGCTGCTGCGCCGGACCTAGCACCACTGGCATTCGGGATGGCTGCTCGCTGGGAAGCAGCCGGGAAACCGTTGATATGGGCTGGGCTCGAGCTTGCAGGACGTGATGCGCTGGCAGCACCCGGGTTCACACGGTTCTGGCCCTGGCTGTAAGCACCAGATGCACCGCCCAACCGGCCAGTGTTTAACGAATGTGCCAGTAGCGGAGCTGGTGCAGTCCCCATCTCTCCAGCGTTTTGCCAGCCCGAGTTGCACGGTGCGGCTGTAGGTACTTGCCCCTGTCCCCCAGATCTGCCCACGGTCGGTCGAGCATTGCCTACAGCTGGCGCATGTTGTGGCTGCAACATCTGAAAGGCAGGTCGCGAGTGTACCTGTGGAGCAAGTTCGAAGCGACAAATCGCCATGGGTGGCCCAATCCCAGTGTTCGCGATAGGACCTGCCAGGGTCATAACCAACACCCCACCCAGCGATGACACATATACAACGACTTTGTGCAAGTGTGAGATGGACATTACGAAGGCATATCGATTTCACCCCCGCCTCTCCCTCCCTCCTCCTCCGTGCAATATCCTGTCAATGGCAGGGAGGCAAGGGTGGAAAGATGGCAGAGAGCGGGCTGGGTGAGAACAGCGGGGCTGAAAATAACCCAATAGGAAAGGAGCAGAGAGGACCATGCACACCCCCGCCTCTCCCTCCCTCCTCCTCCGTGCATCTTCTGTCAATGGCAGGGAGGCAAGGGCGGAAAGATGGTAGAGAGAGGGAATGACGTCACTCCTACCTGTGGCACCCCTTCCTCTTCCTCGTCCCATTCCTTCGCCCCTTCCTCTACCTCCAGCCCCGCGGCCAAGTTGACCCGCTCCACGATTTCCGCCGCGCCCTCCACGCCCGACGCCCCGCCTTCCACTCCCTTCTCCCTCTTGTTCATCCTGTCCTCTGCCTCGCCCTCCTCTCCCTCCGCCCCGCCCTGCTCGGCCGCCGCCTCGCCCTCCACGCCCTTCCCCCTCTCCATCATCCTGTCCTCTGCCTCGCCCTCCTCTCCCTCCGCCCCGCCCTGCTCGCCCACCTCGCCCTTCTCCCCGCCCTCTGCCCCGTGCTTTGCCGCGCCCGTCTCCAGGCGCCAATTGCTCAATAACTGCTTCATCGCGCCCACGTTTCCTTGCAGCCTTCTTGACATTGCACGGCACGTCATTCCGTACACCCTCATCCATGTTTAGGGTCGCCATGCACTTGGCCTTGCCCCGCATGATCGCGGGTGCCTCCTCCGCACTTTCATCCATCGTGGAGCCACGGCTTGCTTCCGCAACCGGCCTGACAGGGTACAGCATACGTTCAACATCATCATCCTCAGCGTCGTCCTCCCCGCCTTCATGTGCCTCCTGTCGCACCGCTGCGTTCAGCGCACCATCGCCTTCGGCAGGATCTCTCGCCCGACCGTCTTCCCCGCCTTCGGCCATGACTCTCCCCCCCTCCTCTGCCTCGTATCCTCCCTCACTCTGCGCCGCAAACTCCCCCCCTTCCTGTTCCTCATAGACTTCCCCCCCCCTTACGGCGTATCTGCCCCCTTCCCCTGCCGCGTATCCTCCCCCTTCCCCTGTCCCATTTTCTCCCCCTTCCTCTCCCTCGTATCCTCCCCCTTGCACTGTCGCGTGTACTCCCCCTTCCCCTGCCGCGTATGCACCTTGCTCCCCTGTCCCGCCTTCTCCCCATTCGTCTCCCTTGTCTTCACCGCCTCACACTGTCCCGTATCCTCCCCCTTCCTCTGTCACGTATCCTCCCCCTTGCACTGTCGCGTGTACTCCCCCTTCCCCCGACGCGTATGTCAGAATTATATTTATTATAACTGCATGTAGTTCTAGCTGTAGTGTAGTTATTAAATTTGTAGGTGGTGCACCTCTTCATGTGTTCCTTTGCTATATGTACTTCGAATCCTATAGTGAAAACTCATTCTCCAATTTTCCTCTCTCAACTCACTCGACACTCTCCTAGGGAAAAACCCGCTCGATACCTAACTACGGGCCTAGGCTACTAAGCCTAGGCCCCACCTTTCAACTCTTGTTCTGAGACTCTCGACATGGTATCAGAGCTGAGTTCGTCCTGGCCTGTGGGCCCGCTTTACTTCCGCTGCTAAAATTTTACGGTCGCGCGCCTAGGGCGCGTGACGATTTTATTCTTTACCTTGTCCCGCCCACGGGCGTGTGACTCCTACCCTGCCCGTCGCGCGCCCCGTGGCACGCGACGGTGCCCTTTATCTGCCCATCGTGCGCCCCGAGGCACACGATGGTGCCCTGCTCGTCGTGCGCCCCGAGGCACACGATCGGGCCCTTTTATCCTACCCGTCGTGCGCCCCGTGGCACTGGCCCGCGACGGGCCTTTCCGCCCCTGCACTCCCTGCTGCCGCCCCTGACCCATCTGCACCGACGCCTCTTCGCCGCTCTGCGGCTTTCTTCCTTCCCACCCCCCCCTTTCTCTTGTCTCCCTGCAGCCGTGGGGAGGAGGGTATGGGGGTGGAGGGTGTTGGAGCGTGGGGTCAACTCTCTCCCTTCCCCTCCTCCTTCTTTCAGTCCCACCGCTGCAGCTGCCGCTGGGGGGGGAGGGTGTGAGGATGTGGGTGAGCAGGGGGAGTGGTACCGGGGGGGCGGGTGTGAGGCAACAAGCAGCCGTCCCTCCACCTCTCCTCTCTTCCCCCCTTCTCTGCTGCATCTGCAGCAGTGTGGGGGAGGGGAAGGAGGAGGGTGAGGAGATGGAGGGGGTAACCTTTCAAAGTTAGCCCGCCTGCAGTACCTGCTGTTGCTTGTTTTATTGCTCGTTGGTGTACCTCTGCAGGTTGTGCTCGGCACTTAGCTATTCCTGCATGCAGTTACGGGGGGATGTCAGAATTATATTTATTATAACTGCATGTAGTTCTAGCTGTAGTGTAGTTATTAAATTTGTAGGTGGTGCACCTCTTCATGTGTTCCTTTGCTATATGTACTTCGAATCCTATAGTGAAAACTCATTCTCCAATTTTCCTCTCTCAACTCACTCGACACTCTCCTAGGGAAAAACCCGCTCGATACCTAACTACGGGCCTAGGCTACTAAGCCTAGGCCCCACCTTTCAACTCTTGTTCTGAGACTCTCGACAGCGTATGCACCTTGTTCCCCTATCCCGTCTTCTCCCCATTCCTCACCCTCTTCTGTCAACGGGAGTTGTGTGTTGGCCCCGTCCACGCTTGGGCGGAGCCGACTTCGTGGTGGGGTGTACGGAAGGTACAGCCGACTTGCAGCAGTGGGCGACGCCGACTTGGACGAGCTGGTCGACGGGGTTGGTCGACTTGCACGGCGCCACTGCAATACCGCCAACTTGGGAAGCCAGCGGCCGACTTCAACTGGTGGTCGGCGATGTGGCACGTCGACCTGGAAGTTGTCGCCGACTTGCAAGGTCACCGACTTGCAAGGTCACCGACTTGCAAGGTCACCGACTTGCAAGGTCACCGACTTGCAAGGTCACCGACTTTGCAAGTCGGCGCCGACTTGCAAGGTCGCCAACTTGGGAGGTCGCCAACTTCAAGAGGTCAGTCTGGAAGTCGGCGCCGACGTAGAAGGGGCGTCGACCTGGTGACGCTGACTTGGGTAGCTGACAACTGCACTGGTCGACCAGGAGTGATGTCGACCTGGATCTGGTCGACTAGAGGAGTGGCCGACCTGGTGAGGTCGACCTGGTGTGGTTGTCGACTTGGGAGGTCGACGAGCACATACAGGAGCAGCTGGTCGACATAGTTGCCCGGTCGACCAGGATACCTGGGTGACGAGGTTCTGCGAAGGAGTGCGACGGTCACCTAGGCGAAGTTGGCGAGACCGACCTCCATGGTGGTATCCCGAGGTCGTCGTGGCGGATCAGAGGCAGTCGCTAGCCCGAGGCTGACGTGGTGTGTGCGCTGTGCAGGTGACGAGACTTTGCATGCCAATCATCTGCGCGCACCTGCAAAGCGGGTGCACTGTTGTCCTGCGTGAGCAATGCTGGCACACCGTCAACCTGCAGCGTTGGCTTTGCACTGCTGTAGCGTGGTCGACCAAGTCGTGCTGGAACGCGGTCGACCATGCTGTGCTGGCAATCGACCAACCTGAATGCTAGCTCTGATGTAGTCTTGCATTGCCAACTTCATTGTACCATCATTGACAGCTTTCTCTAGTGAAACTCTTGCCAAAATTGCCCCGTGAACTAGCAAGCAGTGTGAGCACTAGGAAAACGTCTAAGGACCAACGAACGCAGACATCACACGAGCACACGTGCCTAGCCAGTACTCTAAGCTCCCGTTGTAGTAGTTATCTCCGCATGGTGCGGTGAGCGTGGACGGCACACGACTTACCCTTCAGTCAGGTCGACGTAGACACCACTTACCTATTTCGTAGTTACAGGCCGGCAACTGTGCGGTAGTCACTATGGTAAGAGTCGTAGGTGACGCGGGGGTGGTAGACACCCTGGAGGCACGGTTGGAGAACGCGAGGAGGAAGCACGAGGCCAACGAGTATGGCGACTTGCCCTGGGCGGTCGTTGAGGCTGGACTCCGCTCCACGTGGGCGACGGAGCACCCGTCTCGACGTGCCTCTCCTCGTCCGGTGAACAACGATGGCGGCGTCGACGTGGGCGTCAACGCCGGTGGTGGTCAAGTCGGCAGCACTGCTGGAGGCACGTCGAGGCAAAGAGGTGTGATACATGCCGGTGAAGTCGGCGGCGTTCAGGCGCGAGGGATGCAGACGTCGGCGGCTGCAAGCTCTTCGCAGGGTGACGTTGGAGGCCGACGTAGTGGGCTGTCGCCGATGACGGCGACCCAGGTGACGGCAGGTGGGATTGCGCCGAGCTACGGCTACTTCAAGTTCACGCCGGACAGGATCTCGGTCACCCCCCCACTGTTCGGTCGACCCGACATTCTCACCTGGAAGGAAGCTATCGAGCCCTAGCTGGATATGGCTGGGCTGATCGGCTTCGCCCGAGGGACCGTGGTGACGCCTGGAGAACACCACCCCGACTTGCGGGCGGAGTTCCGCGCCGTGCAGCTTTTGACCTTCACGGTCATCTCGCGGTGCTGCTCGCCGGGCATGCAGATCGCCTTAAAGTGGTGCCGGGAGTACATCGACGCCGGCCACTGGGCGTGGCACTTCATTGAGTCGACGTACCAGGTCACCGATGACCTGTTCATCGCCCAGCTGGAGGGACAGCTGACGCACCTGCGTATGGGTGACGAGGAGACAGCGACTGACTACTGCAACCGAGCCCGGCGAATTCTCGCCACTATCAGGATGGCCGGCGCGCAGTACTCGACGGCGTCGTACATCCCCCATGTCATGCAGGGACTTTCTAGCAGCTATAACCTCCTGAAACGGGTGTCCATGGCGCCGAGCACAAGGGCGACGCTCAACGAGGACAACCTGACCTCATACATCCTGCCGGACGAGGCGATGCAGGAAGCTGAGCGGTCACAGGAACTCTTGGTGCAGGCCAACTTCGTCGCCCCGGCGAAGCAAGGAGGCCGACCAGGAGAGCGCGGACAGTCTAGTGGCGGCGAGAGCGGTGGCTGGAAGTCGACCAAGGAGGTCGAGAAGAAGTCGACCAAGGACGGCGATCAAGGAGGGGGAGGTTGACGTCGGGAGTGCTGGATCTGCCACAGCCCCAATCACCTCTCCTTCGAGTGTCCCGACCGCAGTGACTCCGACGACAACAACAAGGGCGGCCGCGGGAGGTCGAGCAGTCGTCATCCTCGTTGAGGAGGAAACCGGCCGCGCAAGGAGAAGCAGTCGACCAAGACGTCGACTTCGGCGAACGACGCCGACTCCCCTGCTGGCAGCAAGGCGCGGGATGACAAGACGGCGTCGTGCTCGCTGGTCGGCGTCGTGGAGCCGACCGTCTCGCTGGCGCCGGAGGCCGGAGAGGACTTCCAGGCGGTGGCAACAGCTGTGCAGGCGAACCCGGCAGTGGTCCTGCTCGACAGCGGTTGCTCCCACCACCTGATGGGGACAAAGGAAGTCTTCGTCGACCTGCAGCCGAGCGGCTTCATCAAGCACGTGCGCGGCTTCAATGGGGCGCTGCAGGATGTCCAGGGCCGCGGCACCGTCGCCCTGCAAGGGGAGGCCGGGAAGCAGGTGCTCATCCCTGACGTGCTGT